TACCCACAACTTACTATGATGAAGGTCAGTTTAACCATTACCCACAACCTACTATGATGAAGGTCAGTTTAACCATTACCTACAACCTACTATGATGAAGGTCAGTTTAACCATTACCCACAACTTACTATGATGAAGGTCAGTTTAACCATTACCCACAACTTACTATGATGAAGGTCAGTTTAATCATTACCCACAACATATGATGAAGGTCAGTTTAACCATTAGCCACAACTTACTATGATGAAGGTCAGTTTAACCATTACCCACAACTTACTATGATGAAGGTCAGTTTAACCATTACCCACAACTTACTATGATGAAGGTCAGTTTAATCATTACCCACAACATATGATGAAGGTCAGTTTAACCATTAGCCACAACTTACTATGATGAAGGTCAGTTTAACCATTACCCACAACTTACTATGATGAAGGTCAGTTTAACCATTACCCACAACTTACTATGATGAAGGTCAGTTTAATCATTACCCACAACTTACTATGATGAAGGTCAGTTTAACCATTACCCACAACTTACTATGATGAAGGTCAGTTTAACCATTACCCACAACCTACTATGATGAAGGTCAGTTTAACCATTAGCCACAACCTACTATGATGAAGGTCAGTTTAACCATTACCCACAACTTACTATGATGAAGGTCAGTTTAACCATTACCCACAACTTACTATGATGAAGGTCAGTTTAACCATTACCCACAACTTACTATGATGAAGGTCAGTTTAATCATTACCCACAACTTACTATGATGAAGGTCAGTTTAACCATTACCCACAACTTACTATGATGAAGGTCAGTTTAACCATTACCCACAACCTACTATGATGAAGGTCAGTTTAACCATTACCCACAACTTACTATGATGAAGGTCAGTTTAACCATTACCCACAACCTACTATGATGAAGGTCAGTTTAACCATTACCCACAACTTACTATGATGAAGGTCAGTTTAACCATTACCCACAACTTACTATGATGAAGGTCAGTTTAACCATTACCCACAACTTACTATGATGAAGGTCAGTTTAACCATTACCCACAACTTACTATGATGAAGGTCAGTTTAACCATTACCTACAACCTACTATGATGAAGGTCAGTTTAACCATTACCCACAACTTACTATGATGAAGGTCAGTTTAACCATTACCCACAACTTACTATGATGAAGGTCAGTTTAACCATTACCCACAACTTACTATGATGAAGGTCAGTTTAACCATTACCTACAACCTACTATGATGAAGGTCAGTTTAACCATTACCCACAACTTACTATGATGAAGGTCAGTTTAACCATTACCCACAACCTACTATGATGAAGGTCAGTTTAACCATTAGCCACAACATATGATGAAGGTCAGTTTAACCATTACCCACAACCTACTATGATGAAGGTCAGTTTAACCATTAGCCACAACTTACTATGATGAAGGTCAGTTTAACCATTACCCACAACTTACTATGATGAAGGTCAGTTTAACCATTACCCACAACTTACTATGATGAAGGTCAGTTTAACCATTAGCCACAACCTACTATGATGAAGGTCAGTTTAACCATTACCCACAACCTACTATGATGAAGGTCAGTTTAACCATTAGCCACAACATATGATGAAGGTCAGTTTAACCATTACCCACAACCTACTATGATGAAGGTCAGTTTAACCATTAGCCACAACATATGATGAAGGTCAGTTTAACCATTACCCACAACCTACTATGATGAAGGTCAGTTTAACCATTACCCACAACCTACTATGATGAAGGTCAGTTTAACCATTAGCCACAACATATGATGAAGGTCAGTTTAACCATTACCCACAACCTACTATGATGAAGGTCAGTTTAACCATTACCCACAACCTACTATGATGAAGGTCAGTTTAACCATTACCCACAACCTACTATGATGAAGGTCAGTTTAACCATTAGCCACAACTTACTATGATGAAGGTCAGTTTAACCATTACCCACAACTTACTATGATGAAGGTCAGTTTAACCATTACCCACAACCTACTATGATGAAGGTCAGTTTAACCATTACCCACAACCTACTATGATGAAGGTCAGTTTAACCATTAGCCACAACTTACTATGATGAAGGTCAGTTTAACCATTACCCACAACCTACTATGATGAAGGTCAGTTTAACCATTAGCCACAACATATGATGAAGGTCAGTTTAACCATTACCCACAACCTACTATGATGAAGGTCAGTTTAACCATTAGCCACAACTTACTATGATGAAGGTCAGTTTAACCATTAGCCACAACTTACTATGATGAAGGTCAGTTTAACCATTACCCACAACTTACTATGATGAAGGTCAGTTTAACCATTACCCACAACCTACTATGATGAAGGTCAGTTTAACCATTACCCACAACCTACTATGATGAAGGTCAGTTTAACCATTAGCCACAACTTACTATGATGAAGGTCAGTTTAACCATTACCCACAACCTACTATGATGAAGGTCAGTTTAACCATTAGCCACAACATATGATGAAGGTCAGTTTAACCATTACCCACAACCTACTATGATGAAGGTCAGTTTAACCATTAGCCACAACTTACTATGATGAAGGTCAGTTTAACCATTAGCCACAACATATGATGAAGGTCAGTTTAACCATTAGCCACAACATATGATGAAGGTCAGTTTAACCATTACCCACAACCTACTATGATGAAGGTCAGTTTAACCATTACCCACAACCTACTATGATGAAGGTCAGTTTAACCATTACCCACAACCTACTATGATGAAGGTCAGTTTAACCATTAGCCACAACTTACTATGATGAAGGTCAGTTTAACCATTAGCCACAACTTACTATGATGAAGGTCAGTTTAACCATTACCCACAACCTACTATGATGAAGGTCAGTTTAACCATTAGCCACAACTTACTATGATGAAGGTCAGTTTAACCATTACCCACAACATATGATGAAGGTCAGTTTAACCATTACCCACAACCTACTATGATGAAGGTCAGTTTAACCATTACCCACAACTTACTATGATGAAGGTCAGTTTAACCATTAGCCACAACTTACTATGATGAAGGTCAGTTTAACCATTAGCCACAACTTACTATGATGAAGGTCAGTTTAACCATTAGCCACAACCTACTATGATGAAGGTCAGTTTAACCATTAGCCACAAACTACTATGATGAAGGTCAGTTTAACCATTAGCTACAACCTACTATGATGAAGGTCAGTTTAACCATTAGCCACAAACTACTATGATGAAGGTCAGTTTAACCATTAGCCACAAACTACTATGATGAAGGTCAGTTTAACCATTAGCTACAACCTACTATGATGAAGGTCAGTTTAACCATTAGCCACAAACTACTATGATGAAGGTCAGTTTAACCATTAGCTACAACCTACTATGATGAAGGTCAGTTTAACCATTAGCCACAAACTACTATGATGAAGGTCAGTTTAACCATTAGCCACAAACTACTATGATGAAGGTCAGTTTAACCATTAGCCACAACTTACTATGATGAAGGTCAGTTTAACCATTAGCCACAAACTACTATGATGAAGGTCAGTTTAACCATTAGCTACAACCTACTATGATGAAGGTCAGTTTAACCATTAGCCACAAACTACTATGATGAAGGTCAGTTTAACCATTAGCTACAACCTACTATGATGAAGGTCAGTTTAACCATTAGCCACAAACTACTATGATGAAGGTCAGTTTAACCATCACCCACAACCACTTCCAGACAAAACTGAAGTTTGCTTATCTCACTTGTTTGTATGCACAGAGAAGTGATTCAATAGCTAATTCATTGTAAGGTGTAGAAATCTAAACGCATGCACCGATTTGATTAATTTTTGCTACACTTGAGGATTATAACAAAAGGAAGGTCATCGCGCACTATCTAGCTAAACTACATGAAGATTCAAACACTTTTCAATTTTTAAATATTTGTATAATCCATACAGGCGACCTCTTATCCTTCATTTTAGGTCTACATAACTTAAATATTCTGTGCCACGGTCATCACAAGTGCAATTTAGTGTCTTATTTATAGACCTTATTAGTATTTATTTATCTTTCTGGAATAGAAACGGGGCTGAGAATAAAATGATATTAGATATTTACATAATTTAAAATGCTGCTATAATTAGATATCAGGTTTTACTTTTTTTTTTTTATTTAAAAACCTTACAAAGCTGTATTGTTTACTAATTATTTTATTTTACTACTATTATTACTAATGACCCCATTTCCTTCATAGTTTTTTTAATATAAATGTGGTGCTAATTGTTTGGTACCTGTGCAGCGTGGTGCAAGTCTAATTTGTTAAATATAGACTGTGCCCTTTAAGCCATTTGTCCCATTCAGGCAAGTGTAATTTGTTAAATATAGACTGTGCCCTTTAAGCCATTTGTCCCATTCAGGCAAGCCTAATTTGTTAAATATAGACTGTGCCCTTTAAGCCATTTGTCCCATTCAGGCAAGTCTAATTTGTTAAATATAGACAGTGCCCTTTAAGCCATTTGTCCCATCTGGGTCCCGGGAAAGAGATAGGGAAACAGATATGTTTAAATAGGGATAGGGCTAGAGATAGTTATAATAATAGACAAGGATAGGGATAAGGGAAAGGGACAAGAAAGGGGATAAGGGATAAGAATAATGATAGGGCAATTATAGTAAAAGGGTAAGGGATAATTAGAGGAATAGTTAATGGGATTGGGAGATGTGTCTGTTTATAATTATGTTTGGGTTTGTGGTTGAGGTTGTGGTTAAGATTAGCGTTAAATATATTTTCTATACCGTCCATATTTACACAGGCATATAATTGAAAACTGTATATATTTCCCAAAGCCTGTGTAGCGCGGGTTATATGTTGCTAGTGTATTATAAATGATTAAAGTTCTCATGTAGCTGTTACAAGTTTAACTAACAACACAAGTAGATGTCTATTTACAGTGCTCCTATTTCAAGCAATTCGAAGAAGGGCTGATGTCACGTCACTCCATCAAGGGGACACTCTCTTGGTCCAGGCAGGCTTTAGTCAAAGGAAATTCGTAAGTTTGGCCTCTCTTGCTGCCCCACACTGTCTTGGTCCAGGCAGGCTTTAGTCAAAGGAAATTTGTAAGTTTGGCCTCTCTTTCTTATGCTGCCCCACACTGTCTTGGTCCAGGCAGGCTTTAGTCAAAGGAAATTTGTAAGTTTGGCCTCTCTTGCTGCCCCACACTGTCTTGGTCCAAGCAGGCTTTAGTCAAAGGAAATTTGTAAGTTTGGCCTCTCTTGCTGCCCCACACTGTCTTGGTCCAGGCAGGCTTTAGTCAAAGGAAATTTGTAAGTTTGGCCTCTCTTTCTTATGCTGCCCCACACTGTCTTGGTCCAGGCAGGCTTTAGTCAAAGGAAATTCGTAAGTTTGGCCTCTCTTGCTGCCCCACACTCTCTTGGTCCAGGCAGGCTTTAGTCAAAGGAAATTTGTAAGTTTGGCCTCTCTTGCTGCCCCACACTGTCTTGGTCCAGGCAGGCTTTAGTCAAAGGAAATTCGTAAGTTTGGCCTCTCTTGCTGCCCCACACTCTCTTGGTCCAGGCAGGCTTTAGTCAAAGGAAATTCTAAGTTTGGCCTCTCTTGCTGCCCCACACTGTCTTGGTCCAGGCAGGCTTTAGTCAAAGGAAATTTGTAAGTTTGGCCTCTCTTACTGCCCCACACTGTCTTGGTCCAGGCAGGCTTTAGTCAAAGGAAATTTGTAAGTTTGGCCTCTCTTGCTGCCCCACACTGTCTTGGTCCAGGCAGGCTTTAGTCAAAGGAAATTTGTAAGTTTGGCCTCTCTTGCTGCCCCACACTGTCTTGGTCCAGGCAGGCTTTAGTCAAAGGAAATTTGTAAGTTTGGCCTCTCTTTCTTATGCTGCCCCACACTATCTTGGTCCAGGCAGGCTTTAGTCAAAGGAAATTCGTAAGTTTGGCCTCTCTTGCTGCCCTACACTGTCTTGGTCCAGGCAGGCTTTAGTCAAAGGAAATTCGTAAGTTTGGCCTCTCTTGCTGCCCTACACTGTCTTGGTCCAGGCAGGCTTTAGTCAAAGGAAATTTGTAAGTTTGGCCTCTCTTGCTGCCCCACACTGTCTTGGTCCAGGCAGGCTTTAGTCAAAGGAAATTTGTAAGTTTGGCCTCTCTTGCTGCCCCACACTGTCTTGGTCCAGGCAGGCTTTAGTCAAAGGAAATTCGTAAGTTTGGCCTCTCTTGCTGCCCCACACTGTCTTGGTCCAGGCAGGCTTTAGTCAAAGGAAATTCGTAAGTTTGGCCTCTCTTGCTGCCCCACACTGTCTTGGTCCAGGCAGGCTTTAGTCAAAGGAAATACGTAAGTTTGGCCTCTCTTACTGCCCCACACTGTCTTGGTCCAGGCAGGCTTTAGTCAAAGGAAATTCGTAAGTTTGGCCTCTCTTACTGCCCCACACTGTCTTGGTCCAGGCAGGCTCTAGTCAAAGGAAATTTGTAAGTTTGGCCACTCTTTCTTATGCAGCCCCAGTGCTACATTTCTTTAAGAGGATGGAAAAGTGGTAAAATATACATGTTGTAGGCTATCCAGAGAATACATGTTGTGTGCTGTCTAGTCTATAAAATTTAAATAAGTATTCTGACAACTGGAAAGGAGGTGGGGGAACGGCTGGTGAGTGAGTTGACAAGGTATCCTGGTCAGCATCTGACATCATTGAAAAAAAATAAAACTAAGTCTTTGATAGATTTCATCCAGCAACTGGCTTGCCACACTCTCTGTATAACTTGTGACTAATGGCTGTCACAGTAAAACCTACATAAATCACAGTAAAACCTACATAAATCACAGTAAAACCTACATATATCACAGTAAAACCTACATAAATCAAAGTAAAACCTACATAAATCACAGTAAAACCTACATAAATCACAGTAAAACCTACATAAATCACAGTAAAACCTACATATATCATAGTAAAACCTACATATATCAGTAAAACCTACATAAATCGCAGTAAAACCTACATAAATCACAGTAAAACCTACATACATCACAGTAAAACCTACATAAATCACAGTAAAACCTACATAAATCAAGGATATTAATTTATTTCAGGTTAATTTTTCCTACTAAAATTGCATCAGTTTTGACAGTACCACATTATTATCAAAAAATGGTAATATTTTAGTTTTCTAATGTTCTTGTAAGAAGTTTTATGTCATAATGTGTTGCATTTAAGACAGTTTTTTTACACCCTTTAAAAGGTGCTGACCATACATGTAGAAATATTTGTATATATATTGTTTCCTGAGCCCATGTTTGGACCTGGTTTATCTGAGCCCATGTTTTTAATTTGACTAGCGACGTGAGCTATGGAGTAAACTCAGTGAACAAATCTTCTTGAGAAACCGAGCAAAGACTTTGAGTAGTTTCCTGCGAGTTTTTGTCATTTGTTTACACTACCTGGACGTGACTCTGAGCATGGTGCATCTGACTGATGAGATGTTCCTGGTGAACACCATACCCAGATCTGTCTTCATATGGTACAATGTCACCTATATTGCCATTCATCTGCTCATCTTTATCATCAAGGTCAGTTTATTGGCATGGCTGGCTGTTTATGCTGGCTTGTACAGGAGTGCTTCAAACACAGGACTTTTAATTAAGTCCAGGACATTGTGTCATGTCCAGGACATTGTGTCATGTCCAGGACATTGTGTCATGTCCAGGACATTGTGTCATGTCCAGGACATTTAGTCATGTCCAAGACATTTAGTCATGTGCTGGACATTAGTCATGTCCAGGGCATTGAGTCATGTCCAGGACATTTAGTCATGTCCAGGACATTTAGTCATGTGCTGGACATTAGTCATGTCCAGGGCATTGAGTCATGTCCAGGACATTTAGTCATGTCCAGGACATTTAGTCATGTCCAAGACATTTAGTCATGTGCTGGACATTAGTCATGTCCAGGGCATTGAGTCATGTCCAGGACATTTAGTCATGTCCAGGACATTTAGTCATGTCCAGGACATTTAGTCATGTGCTGGACATTAGTCATGTCCAGGGCATTGAGTCATGTCCAGGACATTTAGTCATGTCCAGGACATTTAGTCATGTCCAAGACATTTAGTCATGTCCAAGACATTTAGTCATGTGCTGGACATTAGTCATGTCCAGGGCATTGAGTCATGTCCAGGACATTTAGTCATGTCCAGGACATTTAGTCATGTCCAAGACATGTGCTGGACATTAGTCATGTGATGGACATTTAGTCATGTGCTGGATATTTAGTCATGTGTTGGACATTTAGTCATGTGTTGGACATTTAGTCATGTGATGTACCTTTAGTGATGTCCAGGACATTTAGTCATGTGATGGATATTTAGTCATGTGTTGGACATTTAGTCATGTGTTGGACATTTAGTCATGTGCTGGACATTAGTCATGTCCAGGGCATTGAGTCATGTCCAGGTCATTTAGTCATGTCTAGGACATTTAGTCATGTCCAAGACATTTAGTCATGTGCTGGACATTAATTCATGTGATGGACATTTAATCATGTGATGAACATTTAGTCATGTGATGGACATTTAGTCATGTGATGGACATTTAGTCATGTGCTGGACATTTAGTCATGTGCTGGACATTTAGTCATGTGCTGGACATTTAGTCATGTGATGGACATTTAGTCATGTGTTGGACATTTAGTCATGTCCAGGGCATTGAGTCATGTGCTGGATATTTAGTCATGTGTTGGACATTCATTAGTAGGACATGTAATTGAAGAAGCATATCTTACTCTAGCACCTGTCTTTACCAGCTTGAAATTTTCCTTACAGTACGGCTTGACTAGAAAGATGAGTATCTGGGAAGGCATCATTCTCATCATTATTCCGGTTGGCATTGCTGACATTCTTGCCATGAGCATCTTGTCCTCGGCCAAACCTTTGTTTTCTGTCATCAGGACCACTTTTATCCTCTCAAGATTTCTACGCATTTTGCAAGTAGGAGAAGTGTGTCCAGTAAGTTGTCTGACATTTTTTTTTAAACAAGGCTTTGTGTATGTGGGCTTCTATTTTATCAATGCTATTCTATAGCTAGTGTGCTCAAGGCCATGCAAATCTAATACTTTGTACAGTGTGTAGTAATTTGTACTAATTGCAGGCCTGGATCAAAGTAGTGCCTGTGTATTGCAGGCTTAAAGTAGTGCCTGTGTGTTGCAGGCTTAAAGTAGTGTCTGTGTGTTGCAGGCTTAAAGTAGTTCCTGTGTGTTGCAGTTTTAAAGTAGTGTCTGTGTGTTGCAGGCTTAAAGTAGTGCCTGTGTGTTGCAGGCTTAAAGTAGTTCCTGTGTGTTGTAGGCTTAAAGTAGTGCCTGTGTGTTGTAGGCTTAAAGTAGTTCCTGTGTGTTGCAGGCTTAGATTAAAGTAGTTCCTGTGTGTTGCAGGCCTGGATAAAAGTAGTGTCTGTGTGTTGCAGGCTTAAAGTAGTGCCTGTGTGTTGCAGGTTTAAAGTAGTGCCTGTGTGTTGCAGGCTTAAAGTAGTGCCTGTGTGTTGCAGGCTTAAAGTAGTGCCTGTGTGTTGCAGGCTTAAAGTAGTGCCTGTGTGTTGTAGGTTTAAAGTAGTTCCTGTGTGTTGCAGGCTTAAAGTAGTGCCTGTGTGTTGTAGGTTTAAAGTAGTGCCTGTGTGTTGCAGGCTTAAAGTAGTGCCTGTGTGTTGCAGGCTTAAAGTAGTGCCTGTGTGTTGTAGGCTTAAAGTAGTTCCTGTGTGTTGCAGGCTTAGATTAAAGTAGTTCCTGTGTGTTGCAGGCCTGGATAAAAGTAGTGCCTGTGTGTTGTATGCTTAAAGTAGTGCCTGTGTGTTGCAGGCTTAAAGTAGTGCCTGTGTGTTGTAGGTTTAAAGTAGTTCCTGTGTGTTGCAGGCTTAAAGTAGTGCCTGTGTGTTGCAGGCTTAAAGTAGTGCCTGTGTGTTGTAGGCTTAAAGTAGTTCCTGTGTGTTGCAGGCTTAAAGTAGTGCCTGTGTGTTGCAGGCTTAAAGTAGTTCCTGTGTGTTGCAGGCTTAAAGTAGTTCCTGTGTGTTGCAGGCTTAAAGTAGTGCCTGTGTGTTGTATGCTTAAAGTAGTGCCTGTGTGTTGCAGGCTTAAAGTAGTTCCTGTGTGTTGCAGGCTTAAAGTAGTGCCTGTGTGTTGCAGGCTTAAAGTAGTGCCTGTGTGTTGCAGGCTTAAAGTAGTTCCTGTGTGTTGCAGGCTTAAAGTAGTGCCTGTGTGTTGTAGGTTTAAAGTAGTGCCTGTGTGTTGCAGGCTTAAAGTAGTGCCTGTGTGTTGCAGGCTTAAAGTAGTGTCTGTGTGTTGCAGGCTTAAAGTAGTGCCTGTGTGTTGTATGCTTAAAGTAGTGCCTGTGTGTTGTAGGCTTAAAGTAGTGCCTGTGTGTTGCAGGCTTAAAGTAGTTCCTGTGTGTTGCAGGCTTAAAGTAGTGCCTGTGTGTTGTATGCTTAAAGTAGTGCCTGTGTGTTGCAGGTTTAAAGTAGTGCCTGTGTGTTGTAGGCTTAAAGTAGTGCCTGTGTGTTGCAGGCTTAAAGTAGTGCCTGTGTGTTGCAGGCTTAAAGTAGTGCCTGTGTGTTGCAGGCTTAGATTAAAGTAGTTCCTGTGTGTTGCAGGCCTGGATAAAAGTAGTGTCTGTGTGTTGCAGGCTTAAAGTAGTTCCTGTGTGTTGTATGCTTAAAGTAGTGCCTGTGTGTTGCAGGCTTAAAGTAGTGCCTGTGTGTTGTAGGCTTAAAGTAGTGCCTGTGTGTTGCAGGCCTGGATCAAAGTACTGCTGGAGTTGTGTGAGAAGGGTGTGAGCAAAATTTTATCTGAGGGCTATGAGGTAGGCTGTGGCTACATTAGAGGACGCCAGGAGGTGATGAGGTACCTGGACTACATCCAGATGGACATCCCAGCTGATATTCTACACAAGTACAAGCTCATATGCAAGCAACACAAACTGGAGACCATCAGATTGTTGGGTAAACACATTCACTCAGGGCTCTTGTTTACTGGCCTACTTCTGGTTGTTGTTTACTGGCCTACTTCAGGGTTCTTGTTTACTGGCCTACATCTGGTTGTTGTTTACTGGCCTACTTCAGGGTTCTTGTTTACTGGCCTACTTCAGGGTTCTTGTTTACTGGCCTACTTCAGGGTTCTTGTTTACTGGCCTACATCTGGTTGTTGTTTACTGGCCTACTTCAGGGTTCTTGTTTACTGGCCTACATCTGGTTGTTGTTTACTGGCCTACTTCTGGTTGTTGTTTACTGGCCTACTTCTGGTTGTTGTTTACTGGCCTACATCTGGTTGTTGTTTACTGGCCTACATCTGGTTGTTGTTTACTGGCCTACTTCAGGGTTCTTGTTTACTGGCCTACTTCAGGGTTCTTGTTTACTGGCCTACTTCTGGTTGTTGTTTACTGACTTAGATCTGGTTGTTGTTTACTGGCCTACTTCAGGGTTCTTGTTTACTGGCCTACTTCAGGGTTCTTGTTTACTGGCCTACTTCAGGGTTCTTGTTTACTGGCCTACTTCTGGTTGTTGTTTACTGGCCTACTTCAGGGTTCTTGTTTACTGGCCTACTTCTGGTTGTTGTTTACTGGCCTACTTCAGGGTTCTTGTTTGTTTACTGGCCTATTTACATAGAACCATTGATACTTTTTGTATGGCAAAATACCAGTAAATTTAGCATTAATTTTTTACCATAGCAAATTTCAAAATTCGAAAAAAAAATTCTTTAATGTAGGAATAATGTGCCAAATTACAAATATTATAGAATAGTAAAAATATTTTTATTTTAACTTGGAAAAAGAAATGGTTAAAAGTCAAGTGTGCAAAAGTATACACCTTTTCTGATGGGTAATGCATTAGGTGTTGTTTATTAGGTTAGTAACTAGGTTTTGTTATTAAAGTAGTAATTAGGTGTTGTTAGGTTAGTAATTAGGTTTTGTTATTGAGGTAGTAATTAGGTTTTGTTATTAGGTTATTAATAAGTCTTGTTAGGTTAGTAATTAGGTGTTATTAGGTTAGTAATTAGGTGTTGTTGCTTGTAAGGTTAGTAATTAGGTGTTGCTGTTAGGTTATTAATAAGTCTTGTTAGGTTAGTAATTAGGTGTTGTTAGGTTAGTAATTAGGTGTTGTTGCTTGTAAGGTTAGTAATTAGGTGTTGCTGTTAATTAGGTTTTTTACAGATCCAGCATCCAACAGTGACTAGAAGTGCCAAGACAAGACAAGCTGCACGCATTATTTTAAAAAGTCAATTGAAGAAACTTAGGAAGCACATTCATGAGAAAGATGTCAGTGGACAGGATGGTACAGCTTTAGAAAAGGTGAGTTGTGTTCAGGATGGTACAGCTTTAGAAAAGGTGAGTTGTGTTCAGGATGGTACAGCTTTAGAAAAGGTGAGTTGTGTTCAGGATGGTACAGCTTTAGAAATGTGCTGTTCAGAATGGTACAGCTTTAGAAAAGGTGAGTTGTGTTCAGGATGGTACAGCTTTAGGCATGTGCTGTTCAGAATGGTACAGCTTTAGGAATGTGCTGGTCAGAATGGTACAGCTTTAGAAATGTGCTGTTCAGAATGGTACAGCTTTAGAAATGTGCTGGTCAGAATGGTACAGCTTTAGGAATGTGCTGGTCAGAATGGTACAATGACTATGTCTTAATCTTTACAAAAAAATTTTCTAAGAAATTTGCCAAACTTATATATTTGCCTAACATTTGATTTCCTGAAAACATATTTGCCTAACATTTGATTTCCTGAAAACATGTTTCCAGAAAATTTTGTTGAAACTGAACAGATTATCAGGAAGCCATCATTTGGTGTACCCAGCAACCAATAACCAAATCATACACAACATTCCCTGGATCAAAGAGAGTACAGACTTGTTTCATTTTATTCTGGTCAGTTGAATGGCAGCTCTTGATGACATCACTCTCACTGTCTATTTTGTCTCATCTGAGGGTGAAATCATAGTTAGTTTCATGGGTTTTTTTTCTGTCACCATAGTCAAAATACAATGTTTTGATGTTGACATGTGGGTGGCATCATGATGAAACAATATTTGATGTTGACATCTTGATAAAACAATATTTGATGTTGACATCATGAGATAATATTTGATGTTGACATGATAAAACAATATTTGATGATGACATCTTGATGAAACAATATTTGATGTTGACATCACGATAAAACAATATTTGATGTTGACATCTTGATGAAACAATATTTGATGTTGACATGTTGATGAAACAATATTTGATGTTGACATCATGATGAAACTATTTGATGTTGACATCACGATGAAACAATATTTGATGTTGACATCATGATGAAACTATTTGATGTTGACATGTCAATGAAACAATATTTGATGTTAACACAATAAAACAATATTTGATGTTGACATCGTCAATGAAACAATATTTGATGTTGACATCATGATGAAACTATTTGATGTTGACATCATGAGATAATATTTGATGTTGACATCATGATGAGATAATATTTGATGTTGACATCATGATGAGATAATATTTGATGTTGACATCATGATGAAACTATTTGGTGTTGACATCACGATGAAACAATATTTGATGTTGACATCATGATGAAACTATTTGGTGTTGACAGGGCAGGGGGAAGCTGATCCAGTACAAACCAGGGGACATTATGCTGACACAATTCCAGCTGGCAGGAGGAATTTACATTATACTGGATGGAATAGCTATGGTAATTTTGTTTGTTCAGGAATTTACATTATACTGGATGGAATGGCTGTGGTAATTTTGTTTTGTTCAGGAATTTACATTATACTGGATGGAATGGCTATGGTAATTTTGTTTGTTCAGGAATTTACATTATACTGGATGGAATGGCTGTGGTAATTTTGTTTTGTTCAGGAATTTACATTATACTGGATGGAATGGCTGTGGTAATTTTGTTTTGTTCAGGAATTTACATTATACTGGATGGAATAGCTGTGGTAATTTTGTTTGTTCAGGAATTTACATTATACTGGATGGAATGGCTGTGGTAATTTTGTTTTGTTCAGGAATTTACATTATACTGGATGGAATGGCTGTGGTAATTTTGTTTGTTCAGGAATTTACATTATACTGGATGGAATGGCTGTGGTAATTTTGTTTTGTTCAGGAATTTACATTATACTGGATGGAATGGCTGTGGTAATTTTGTTTTGTTCAGGAATTTACATTATACTGGATGGAATAGCTGTGGTAATTTTGTTTGTTCAGGAATTTACATTATACTGGATGGAATGGCTGTGGTAATTTTGTTTTGTTCAGGAATTTACATTATACTGGATGGAATGGCTGTGGTAATTTTGTTTGTTCAGGAATTTACATTATACTGGATGGAATGGCTGTGGTAATTTTGTTTTGTTCAGGAATTTACATTATACTGGATGGAATGGCTGTGGTAATTTTGTTTGTTCAGGAATTTACATTATACTGGATGGAATGGCTGTGGTAATTTTGTTTTGTTCAGGAATTTACATTATACTGGATGGAATGGCTGTGGTAATTTTGTTTTGTTCAGGAATTTACATTATACTGGATGGAATGGCTGTGGTAATTTTGTTTGTTCAGGAATTTACATTATACATAGGCCTACGCAGAGCCGGCGTTAGGGGGTGGCGAACGGGGCGGTCGCCATAGGCCCCGCGCTTGAAGGGGCCCCGCGCTTCAGCAATGTCATTGTTATCTGAATTAGTTTGTAAACTTAAAAAAAAATTGTTGCTGAATTCAATTGGGAAAAACTAAATGGTCGAATGCCGACGTTGTTGATTGTTATAACTGAGGCCACGGTTGATGTTGGTGAGTCCCACCTGAACTGGGACAGGCCGTAATTCGATACAAAAATAGTGTCACACTTCCCCTTTGTGTAGGCTACGGTCGCCTGGCATTTGACCTGAGCTGACTGGAGATGGCGGTCGAGAATTAGCCCACGACGTAAAGAGATACCCTATTGTATGCGGACCCATGAAGACGTCCTTTTAGTGAGCAGACGGGATGTCTATAGTAGACAGTTAGTGACCTGATGAAATCTAGTCCTGACTTTCTTGTTGTAGATGTCGTATAATGTCGTATATGTACAGTGTTTCTTCCAGACTTTTTTCTCCGGGGGGGGGGGGGGGGGGGCACTTGAAATTTTCGGGGGGGGGGGGGGGGGGCGGACACTGTTAAAAGTATATATTTTCTCTATAAATTATATAAATTTCATTTCGTTTTCATGGGGGGGGGGGGGCTTGCCACCCCCTCCCCCCCGAAGAGATGCCTGGAAGAAACTCTATATGTAGGCCTACTTGTCTTGGTATAACAAAATTAACATTCAGTTGCGTGCAGAGGGGTGGGAGGAGGGCGACGAGGAGGGGGGGGGGCTTAGGATCTATATCAGGCGGCATTAAACAGAGTGATTTATTATTATTTTTTGGAAGAAAGTTAAAACTGTTGTTATGTTGTGTCACCTTAAGGATTCACCCGTTCAATAATTAAGACAATAATGATTTTGGTTTTAAAATATTGTATGAATTCTAAACAAATTTTGAAGTCTATACTGTTTTGATACATCAGGCCGAGTTCGCTGTATTGTAAACTTTATTTTCCTAATTATTCGGCACGTGATTAAATTTTCTTAAGTGATTTGGTATGAATTACATAACTGTTAAAAGTGATTTAATATCTTAGCAAAGGAAAAAAAAACTACGAACATTGGGTTAATACATGGGAGAGATAAAAATCTGTTATTTTAGTGGAAAGTTTGACATTAGCTTATAAACTCCAAAACATTTGTGTTATTATGTATACATCACATTATATAGGCCTTTATACACACACATATATATATATATATATATATATATATATAATATATATATATATATATATATATATATATATATATATATATATATATATATATATATATATATAATGGAAAGGCCCCGCGCGGATGGTTGGCCCTAGGCCCCGCGTATTCCTAACGCCGGCTCTGGGCCTACGCTTAAACGATGCTACTCTGATATTTGAATTGTATCAAATAGTTTAGTTGTTTTGCCGGGGCAGCTGTAGGTAGCTGTATTGCACGGTTTAGAAAAATGGAAATTTGTTGACCTACTAAAATAAATGTAAGAAATTTAGACCTTTTACTTCTACTGACTACAAATATGCTGTGTATTGAGTATTTGAGTCTACTTGTAGCCTATATAAATTCACCGGCACTTAAATAATGTTTAGAGTGTATAGTATTTTAATTTATTTGCAACCAAGTACCTTTATTAAAATCGTATGAGTGAATCCTGCTTTTACTTTTGTTAAAAGTAATAGTGTATTATTTTATTTAAGAAAAGATTTTATTTTCTGCATTTTATTATATAAAAGCTTTACTGTTAAGTAGTAAAGACGTTGCATGACTTAAAATATACATGCCAATTGAATGTACAGAATGTTACTCACTATAATACTTTATATAGCAATCATGTAGGCTATTTACGTAATTTAAATAATTTAAAATCTTAGAATGGGAGCTTATGTCACATTATTCTGTCATGGGAAGTTTAAAACAAAGATGTTTGTTGAAGTTGGTGGAATTTTGTTTGTAAGTTAGGCAATTGAAATGTTCTATTTTATTGAGGTGGAGAAACACTATAAGGAAGATGTGATCCGGAAGGTGACTTGTGATTACCTGACCAGTGGCAGTGTTGTTGGAGAATATTCCTTTCTGACGGGCAAGCCCAGACACAAGACAGTCACCTGTAAAACACAAGTTCTGGTCAGTCTTTGACTTTTTCCTTTGTAATCTCCTTGTTAAAGATCTCAGCTTTGAAAAAGTTGATTCTGTTTACCCAAATGTTATTACCATAATCGTTTGTTGAAACTTCTGATTATACTTTGTCACTGGTGGGTGTCACTGAGACAAGTTGGGTGTCAGTGAGACAAGTTGGGTGTCAGTGAGACAAGTTGGGTGTCAGTGAAACAAGTTGGGTGTCACTGAGACAAGTTGGGTGTCAGTGAGACAAGTTGGGTGTCAGTGAGACAAGTTGGGTGTCACTGAGACAAGTTGGGTGTCACTGAGACAAGTTGGGTGTCAGTGAGACAAGTTGGGTGTCAGTGAGACAAGTTGGGTGTCACTGAGACAAGTTGGGTGTCACTGAGACAAGTTGGGTGTCACTGAGACAAGTTGGGTGTCAGTGAGACAAGTTGGGTGTCACTGAGACAAGTTGGGTGTCAGTGAGACAAGTTGGGTGTCACTGAGACAAGTTGGGTGTCACTGAGACAAGTTGGGTGTCACTGAGACATCTTGACATCTGACAGGTGTTCTACATCCGCTCCATCTACCTGTCACTGAGACATCTTGACATCTGACAGGTGTTCTACATCCGCTCCATCTACCTGTCACTGAGACATCTTGACATCTGACAGGTGTTCTACATCCGCTCCATCTACCTGTCACTGAGACATCTTGACATCTGACAGGTGTTCTACATCCGCTCCATCTACCTGTCACTGAGACATCTTGACATCTGACAGGTGTTCTACATCCGCTCCATCTACCTGTCACTGAGACATCTTGACATCTGACAGGTGTTCTACATCCGCTCCATCTACCTGTCACTGAGACATCTTGACATCTGACAGGTGTTCTACATCCGCTCCATCTACCTGTCACTGAGACATCTTGACATCTGACAGGTGTTCTACATCCGCTCCATCTACCTGTCACTGAGACATCTTGACATCTGACAGGTGTTCTACATCCGCTCCATCTACCTGTCACTGAGACATCTTGACATCTGACAGGTGTTCTACATCCGCTCCATCTACCTGTCACTGAGACATCTTGACATCTGACAGGTGTTCTACATCCGCTCCATCTACCTGTCACTGAGACATCTTGACATCTGACAGGTGTTCTACATCCGCTCCATCTACCTGTCACTGAGACATCTTGACATCTGACAGGTGTTCTACATCCGCTCCATCTACCTGTCACTGAGACATCTTGACATCTGACAGGTGTTCTACATCCGCTCCATCTACCTGTGGAAGTACATCAAGGAGCTGCCGGAGTACAAGGGAGAGAACTTCTCCCTGCTGGAGATGAAAATGTGGAGAGTGGTAGCCATCAGGCTGGCCTTTAGGATTCTGTTGAATGAACCTACCTGGTTTGTGAGTATATGGCCTTTAGGATTCTGTTGAATGAACCTACCTGGTTTGTGAGTATATGGCCTTTAGGATCCTGTTGAATGAACCTACCTGGTTTGTGAGTATATGGCCTTTAGGATCCTGTAGAATGAACCTACCTGGTTTGTGAGTATATGGCCTTTAGGATCCTGTTGAATGAACCTACCTGGTTTGTGAGTATATGGCCTTTAGGATCCTGTTGAATGAACCTACCTGGTTTGTGAGTATATGGCCTTTAGGATCCTGTTGAATGAACCTACCTGGTTTGTGAGTATATGGCCTTTAGGATCCTGTTGAATGAACCTACCTGGTTTGTGAGTATATGGCCTTTAGGATTCTGTTGAATGAACCTACCTGGTTTGTGAGTATATGGCCTTTAGGATCCTGTTGAATGAACCTACCTGGTTTGTGAGTATATGGCCTTTAGGATCCTGTTGAATGAACCTACCTGGTTTGTGAGTATATGGCCTTTAGGATCCTGTTGAATGAACCTACCTGGTTTGTGAGTATATGGCCTTTAGGATCCTGTTGAATGAACCTACCTGGTTTGTGAGTATATGGCCTTTAGGATCCTGTTGAATGAACCTACCTGGTTTGTGAGTATATGGCCTTTAGGATCCTGTTGAATGAACCTACCTGGTTTGTGAGTATATGGCCTTTAGGATCCTGTTGAATGAACCTACCTGGTTTGTGAGTATATGGCCTTTAGGATTCTGTTGAATGAACCTACCTGGTTTGTGAGTATATGGCCTTTAGGATCCTGTTGAATGAACCTACCTGGTTTGTGAGTATATGGCCTTTAGGATCCTGTTGAATGAACCTACCTGGTTTGTGAGTATATGGCCTTTAGGATCCTGTTGAATGAACCTACCTGGTTTGTGAGTATATGGCCTTTAGGATCCTGTTGAATGAACCTACCTGGTTTGTGAGTATATGGCCTTTAGGATTCTGTTGAATGAACCTACCTGGTTTGTGAGTATATGGCCTTTAGGATTCTGTTGAATGAACCTACCTGGTTTGTGAGTATATGGCCTTTAGGATCCTGTTGAATGAACCTACCTGGTTTGTGAGTATATGGCCTTTAGGATTCTGTTGAATGAACCTACCTGGTTTGTGAGTATATGGCCTTTAGGATTCTGTTGAATGAACCTACCTGGTTTGTGAGTATATGGCCTTTAGGATTCTGTTGAATGAACCTACCTGGTTTGTGAGTATATGGCCTTTAGGATTCTGTTGAATGAACCTACCTGGTTTGTGAGTATATGGCCTTTAGGATTCTGTTGAATGAACCTACCTGGTTTGTGAGTATATGGCCTTTAGGATTCTGTTGAATGAACCTACCTGGTTTGTGAGTATATGGCCTTTAGGATTCTGTTGAATGAACCTACCTGGTTTGTGAGTATATGGCCTTTAGGATCCTGTTGAATGAACCTACCTGGTTTGTGAGTATATGGCCTTTAGGATCCTGTTGAATGAACCTACCTGGTTTGTGAGTATATGGCCTTTAGGATCCTGTTGAATGAACCTACCTGGTTTGTGAGTATATGGCCTTTAGGATTCTGTTGAATGAACCTACCTGGTTTGTGAGTATATGGCCTTTAGGATTCTGTTGAATGAACCTACCTGGTTTGTGAGTATATGGCCTTTAGGATCCTGTTGAATGAACCTACCTGGTTTGTGAGTATATGGCCTTTAGGATCCTGTTGAATGAACCTACCTGGTTTGTGAGTATATGGCCTTTAGGATCCTGTTGAATGAACCTACCTGGTTTGTGAGTATATGGCCTTTAGGATCCTGTTGAATGAACCTACCTGGTTTGTGAGTATATGGCCTTTAGGATCCTGTTGAATGAACCTACCTGGTTTGTGAGTATATGGCCTTTAGGATCCTGTTGAATGAACCTACCTGGTTTGTGAGTATATGGCCTTTAGGATCCTGTTGAATGAACCTACCTGGTTTGTGAGTATATGGCCTTTAGGATCCTGTTGAATGAACCTACCTGGTTTGTGAGTATATGGCCTTTAGGATCCTGTTGAATGAACCTACCTGGTTTGTGAGTATATGGCCTTTAGGATCCTGTTGAATGAACCTACCTGGTTTGTGAGTATATGGCCTTTAGGATCCTGTTGAATGAACCTACCTGGTTTGTGAGTATATGGCCTTTAGGATTCTGTTGAATGAACCTACCTGGTTTGTGAGTATATGGCCTTTAGGATCCTGTTGAATGAACCTACCTGGTTTGTGAGTATACCTAGACTGTCCTGTTTCTCCTTCTATTCAATGGAGAGGTTTGTATGTGTTGTTGAACTATTCATTGAAATATACCTTTGTATTTTAGAAACTGAGCTACTCCCAGATTGTGCTGGAACTGTCTGAAGCCACACTTCTCTTTGACTGTGATGACAACTCCTTGTTTCGTCATATATGCAACTCTGATGTCATTGTTATTCAAGGTACCCAGCCAGTATTTGTCTGCTCTAGTCTAATGCTAAGAGTTGAGGCATGGCCAACTATTCAAGGTACCCTTGTACAGCCAGTATTTGTCTGCTGTAGTCTAATGCTAAGAGTTGAGGCATGGCCAACTATTTCATGCTTCACTTTCAGCTAGAATTGTTAACAATTATCTGCTTTCTACTTTGAAATACTTATTTTACAAATGCAATGTTGTTGAACTGTTAAGATGAGGACCATTACATTACACACATTTTTTTGACAAATCGGCTGTCCCCTCTTTTGATAAACAAGCGATGAGTTGATACAATTGGTCTCAAAGAATGTTTACTGAGTCTATCATTTTTAATTTAATGTCTTAGGGTATATGGCTTTACTGAGTCTGTCATTTTAAATTGAATGTCTTAGGGTATATGGCTTTACTGAGTCTGTCATTTTTAATTTAATGTCTTAGGGTATATGGCTTTACTGAGTCTGTCATTTTTAATTTAATGTCTTAGGGTATATGGCTTTACACCAGACCTAAGTTTATATACATCTACAACCAGGCTATACAACTCCATTATATCAAACGTTTTCATACTTTTCAATAATTACATTGTGTAGAGCAGCTATCCTATCTACATATGTTGGACAGCTGTTGAGGCACCATGATTGCCTATGCCCCAATGCCTTGCCATCCGTCTGGTGCCCTCAGAGAGTGCAAAAGACAACCCAGTCCCGTCCCCAATGTCATTCAGCCATCTTCTCCTTTTTTACCCTTGTATCTACTCCCCCCCCCCCTTTCTTCACAGGTGTACTATAAAACATCAGTTATCTCATTTCTAGGGCCTGGATCCAACGCTGGGAGCCTGTTTTTTGGTGTTCATGGCTCTCATCCATGTATGCACCTCACTATCCAAACAACTCCCAATCTAGTACCAGCAACATCCTTACAAAGTCTCGTAAAAGTTAACAAAGTAAACTGGTATGGGGAACCTTTGGAGAAGAATATTATTGGGGCATGACAACAGTACATCGCTAAGTCTCATTTCTGTAATCTGTAGCTTGAGCTCTCTTATAGGAAGAGGAACATTATCTCTATCTGTTGTTGACCGAACCCAATGACTGAATGTTTTCAACTAAATCATGATCATTGTTATTATTTTGGTTTGTTATAATTAATAACATGTGCTGGTGAATTTACAGCATGACTAAATTAGTATATTCAATGGATTTGAATGCTTCAGCTAGTGTAATTCTGAAAACTTAGAAATAAAATTTTTAATTTTTTTTTTAATAAAATAATATATAAGTAATATAGGTCATAATTTAATATCTATAAATATTACTTAACACCCTAAAGTCAACAGTTAACAAAATAAACATTTGCATCTGTGTTGTACACTTGATATAACGAATTAGTTACAAAATATTGTTACTCTTAAATTTTTATCAGATAGAAATATGGTACTGCTACAAGTTTCAAATGTATTTTGCACTAAAAATGTTAATATTTAAGAAGATATGCACGTTTTCTGTTTTCCACCATTTTGACAAGTCTAGCGAAACCGGCACAATAACTTTTTTCTAAATTAAAATTTTTAATAAATAACACAAATTCAATAGACTAACCATTTCCAATTACAATGAAACATAATTCGTGTTTTAATTATTTTAAATATATTTGATAAATTTTAGCAATTTTTTTTTTTTTACAAGCATCCCACTTATGGGATGCTATCTGGATATGGGTTAATTAAACTTTGAGAATGTTTTTATTATGTAAAACTGTTTTGATTAAGTATACTTTGTGACAAGTTTTTTTTTGGTCATACTGTTTAGATTTATTAGAATTGCTGTCTTTGTGTTAAATGTTGACCACTTCATTTATAAAATAATGTTTGCTAAATGTCTTGTAAGATGTTAGGAATGAAAAGATGAATTATTTTTGCTAAATGTCTTGTAAGATGTTAGGAATGAAAAGATGAATTATTTTTGCTAAATGTCTTGTAAGATGTTAGGAATGAAAAGATGAATTATTTTTGCTAAATGTCTTGAAAGATGTTAGGAATGAAAAGATGAATTATTTTTGCTAAATGTCTTGTAAGATTTTAGGAATGAAAAGATGAATTATTTTAGCAAAATGAAAAGATGAATTATTTTCCTCTGTAGGAAGTTTATTCTATGGTGGCACAATAGTTCCAGGCCCTTTTTTTATTCAACATGGAAATACAAGTTTCTCTTTTGTTGTAAGTTAGCATTTGCTTCATTTGACTTTTGTTAAAAAATTTGTACTGACAAGTTTTCTTGAAATTGTTCCTGAAAACAAAATGTGTAGTGAAATTGTTCCTGTCTGGCAGGAGAAAGAAAAAGCTGTGATACTGGTGCTGCCAGCTCAAGATGAAGAGCAGGGCAGTTCCTGTCTAGGCTCACACCTGCAGTGTCATGACATCTTAGAGGGTGTACATCAGGTGACCAGTGACCTGACCCTATCTTCTGGCTCATCTAATGAACGTCCAACCTTCCAGCCACGCAAACGATATTTCCTCTATACAGAGAGAGAAGTAATGTAACCTTTTCCTATACAGCCAAGTAATCTAACCTATTCCTATACAGACAGAAGTAATGTAATGTTTTCCACTGTAGACACATATAAATGGCTCATTTATTTTTTTTTCTCAAAAAACAGCAAAGATTAGACTACTTCTTTTCAATTTTGCTCCCAGGAAGAAAAAAAATTGCTTACAAATGTATTTTTGTCCCTACCAGAATTCTTCACTGGAGAGACCAAATGAATCCAATGTGTCAATACTCTGTAGTTCACAGTATGAGAGCCAGGTAGGTCAATTCTCTGTAGCCCACAATATGAGAGTTCTATCCACTGACCTATCCTAAGATGATGTTCTATCTACTGACCTATCCTACTGATGATGTTCTATCTACTGACCTATCCTATCGATGTTCTATCCACTGACCTATCCTATCGATGTTCTATCCACTGACCTATCCTACTGATGATGTTCTATCTACTGACCTATCCTACTGATGATGTTCTATCCACTGACCTATCCTACCGATGATGTTCTATCCACTGAACTATCCTACTGATGATGTTCTATCTACTGACCTATCCTACTGATGATGTTTTATCTACTGACCTGTCCTACTGATGATGTTCTATCTACTGACCTGTCCTACTGATGATATTCTATCTACTGACCTATCCTACTGATGATTTTCTATCCACTGACCTATCCTATTGATGATGTTCTATCTACTGACCTATCCTACTGATGATGTTCTATCAATGACATATCCTATCGATGTTCTATCCACTGACCTATCCTACTGATGATGTTCTATCTACTGACCTATCCTACTGATGATGACCTATCTACTGATGATGTTCTATCTACTGACCTATCCTACTGATGATGTTCTATCCACTGACCTATCCTACTGATGATGTTCTATCCACTGACCTATCCTACTGATGATGTTCTATCTACTGATGATGTTCTATCTACTGACCTATCCTACTGATGATGTTCTATCCACTGACCTATCCTACCGATGATGTTCTATCTACTGATGATGTTCTATCTACTGACCTGTCCTACTGATGATGTTCTATTCACTAGCCTATCCTACCAATGATGTTCTATCTACTGGCCTATCCTACTGATGATGTTCTATCCACTGACCTATCCTATTGATGATGTTCTATCTACTGGCCTATCCTACTGATGATGTTCTATCCACTGACCTATCCTATTGATGATGTTCTATCTACTGACCTATCCTACTGATGATGTTCTATCTACTGATGATGTTCTATCTACTGACCTATCCTACTGATGATGTTCTATCCACTGACCTATCCTACCGATGATGTTCTATCTACTGACCTATCCTACTGATGATGTTCTATCCACTGACCTATCCTACTGATGATGTTCTATCTACTGACCTATCCTACTGATGATGTTCTATCTACTGACCTATCCTATCGATGTTCTATCCACTGACCTATCCTATCGATGTTCTATCCACTGACCTATCCTACTGATGATGTTCTATCTACTGACCTATCCTACTGATGATGACCTATCTACTGATGATGTTCTATCTACTGACCTATCCTACTGATGATGTTCTATCCACTGACCTATCCTACTGATGATGTTCTATCCACTGACCTATCCTACTGATGATGTTCTATCTACTGATGATGTTCTATCTACTGACCTATCCTACTGATGATGTTCTATCCACTGACCTATCCTACCGATGATGTTCTATCTACTGATGATGTTCTATCTACTGACCTGTCCTACTGATGATGTTCTATTCACTAGCCTATCCTACCAATGATGTTCTATCTACTGGCCTATCCTACTGATGATGTTCTATCCACTGACCTATCCTATTGATGATGTTCTATCTACTGGCCTATCCTACTGATGATGTTCTATCTACTGACCTATCCTACTGATGATGTTCTATCTACTGACCTATCCTACTGATGATGTTCTATCCACTGACCTATCCTACCGATGATGTTCTATCTACTGACCTATCCTACTGATGATGTTCTATCTACTGACCTATCCTACTGATGATGTTCTATCTACTGACCTATCCTACTGATGATGTTCTATCTACTGATGATGTTCTATCTACTGACCTATCCTATTGATGATGTTTTATCTACTGACCTATCCTATTGATGATGTTCTATCTACTGGTGATGTTCTATCCACTGACCTATCCTATTGATGATGTTCTATCTACTGACCTATCCTATTGATGATGACCTATCTACTGATGATGTTCTATCTACTGACCTATCCTACTGATCATGTTCTATCTACTGACCTATCCTATTGATGATGACCTATCTACTGATGATGTTCTATCTACTGACCTATCCTACTGATGATGTTCTATCTACTGACCTATCCTACTGATGATGTTCTATCTACTGATGATGTTCTATCTACTGACCTGTCCTATTGATGATGTTCTATCTACTGACCTATCCTATTGATGATGTTCTATCTACTGACCTATCCTACTGATGATGTTCTATCCACTGACCTATCTTACTGATGATGTTCTATCTACTGACCTATCCTACTGATGATGTTCTATCCACTGACCTATCCTACTGATGATGTTCTATCCACTGACCTATCCTACTGATGATGTTCTATCCACTGACCTATCCTATCCTATTGACGATGTTCTATCTACTGATGATGTTCTATCCACTGACCTATCCTATTGATGATGTTCTATCTACTGACCTATCCTATTGATGATGACCTATCTACTGATGATGTTCTATCTACTGACCTATCCTACTGATCATGTTCTATCTACTGACCTATCCTATTGATGATGACCTATCTACGGATGATGTTCTATCTACTGACCTATCCTACTGATGATGTTCTATCTACTGACCTATCCTACTGATGATGTTGTATCTACTGATGATGTTCTATCTACTGACCTGTCCTATTGATGATGTTCTATCTACTGGCCTATCCTACTGATGATGTTCTATCTACTGGCCTATCCTACTGATGATGTTCTATCTACTGACCTATCCTACTGATGATGTTCTATCCACTGACCTATCCTACTGATGATGTTCTATCTACTGACCTATTCTATTGATGATGTTCTATCTACTGATGATTTTCTATCTACCGACCTATTCTTCTGATGATGTTCTATCTACTGATGATGTTCTATCTACTGGCCTATCCTACTGATGATGTTCTATCTACTGATGATTTTCTATCTACTGACCTATCCTACTGATGATGTTCTATTTACTGATGATGTTCTATCTACTGGCCTATCCTACTGATGATGTTCTATCTACTGACCTATCCTACTGATGATGTTCTATCCACTGACCTATCCTACTGATGATGTTCTATCTACTGATGATGTTCTATCTACTGACCTGTCCTACTGATGATGTTCTATCTACTGACCTGTCCTACTGATGATGTTCTATCTACTGACCTATCCTACTGATGATGTTCTATCCACTGACCTATCCTATTGATGATGTTCTATCTACTGACCTATCCTACTGATGATGTTCTATCCACTGACCTATCCTACTGATGATGTTCTATCTACTGACCTATCCTACTGATGATGTTCTATCTACTGACCTATCCTATCGATGTTCTATCCACTGACCTATCCTATCGATGTTCTATCTACTGACCTGTCCTACTGATGATGTTCTATTCACTAGCCTATCCTACCAATGATGTTCTATCTACTGGCCTATCCTACTGATGATGTTCTATCCACTGACCTATCCTACCGATGATGTTCTATCTACTGACCTATCCTACTGATGATGTTCTATCCACTGACCTATCCTACTGATGATGTTCTATCTACTGACCTATCCTACTGATGATGTTCTATCCACTGACCTATCCTACTGATGATGTTCTATCCACTGACCTATCCTACTGATGATGTTCTATCCATTGACCTATCCTATTGATGATGTTCTATCTACTGACCTATCCTATTGATGATGTTCTATCTACTGATGATGTTCTATCCACTGACCTATCCTATTGATGATGTTCTATCTACTGACCTATCCTATTGATGATGACCTATCTACTGATGATGTTCTATCTACTGACCTATCCTACTGATCATGTTCTATCTACTGACCTATCCTATTGATGATGACCTATCTACTGATGATGTTCTATCTACTGACCTATCCTACTGATGATGTTCTATCTACTGACCTATCCTACTGATGATGTTCTATCTACTGATGATGTTCTATCTACTGACCTGTCCTATTGATGATGTTCTATCTAATGACCTATCCTATTGATGATGTTCTATCTACTGACCTATCCTACTGATGATGTTCTATCCACTGACCAATCTTACTGATGATGTTCTATCTACTGACCTATCCTACTGATGATGTTCTATCCACTGACCTATCCTACTGATGATGTTCTATCCACTGACCTATCCTACTGATGATGTTCTATCTACTGATGATGTTCTATCTACTGACCTATCCTACTGATGATGTTCTATCCACTGACCTATCCTACCGATGATGTTCTATCTACTGATGATGTTCTATCTACTGACCTGTCCTACTGATGATGTTCTATTCACTAGCCTATCCTACCAATGATGTTCTATCTACTGGCCTATCCTACTGATGATGTTCTATCCACTGACCTATCCTATTGATGATGTTCTATCTACTGGCCTATCCTACTGATGATGTTCTATCTACTGACCTATCCTACTGATGATGTTCTATCTACTGACCTATCCTACTGATGATGTTCTATCTACTGATGATGTTCTATCTACTGACCTATCCTACTGATGATGTTCTATCCACTGACCTATCCTACCGATGATGTTCTATCTACTGACCTATCCTACTGATGATGTTCTATCCACTGACCTATCCTGCTGATGATGTTCTATCTACTGACCTATCCTACTGATGATGTTCTATCCACTGACCTATCCTACTGATGATGTTCTATCCACTGACCTATCCTACTGATGATGTTCTATCTACTGACCTATCCTATTGATGATGTTTTATCTACTGACCTATCCTACTGATGATGTTCTATCCACTGACCTATCCTGCTGATGATGTTCTATCTACTGACCTATCCTACTGATGATGTTCTATCCACTGACCTATCCTACTGATGATGTTCTATCCACTGACCTATCCTACTGATGATGTTCTATCTACTGACCTATCCTATTGATGATGTTTTATCTACTGACCT